TGCCAATCGACAATAAAATTAAAGTTTTTCAATTTAAATTTATGCATAGAATCGTTTTCACCAATGTAAAATTGTTTAAGATTGGTCTGGTAAAGTCTGAACTATAATCTTTCTGTAATAAGGAAAAAGATCATCTCTTACACACGTTTGTCGAGTGTAGAATCAGTCTTCCTTTGTGGGAAACTACTAAAGAATTTATCTTTAATGAAACTAATACAGTAATTAATTTTGACACAAAAAGTATCTGCTTTGGAGAGCCTGATTTACCACCAATTGTTAATTCTTTCATATTGTTCACTAAATATTATATCTATAGCTGTAAATTACAAAATATAATTCCTCATTTCAAGGATCTAAAACTCAGACTAGAAAAAATATAAAGATGTACTCAGACTCTTGAATTGATTCTCCCTACTGTATTGTAAACTCAATGGCATGCTTATTATTATTTCTTCTGTTTTGTTATTGCTGTTGTTGGTATTATTGTTGTCATTATTATCAATGACAACAATGATGACAACAATAATAATTTGTTTTTCTTGTACAATTGTATTGTATTATATTGTTATGTCTATTTTTTATTAAGGCTTTTTATTATTTTTTTCTGTTAAATGTTATGAATGTATTATTTCCCTTAATTGCGGTATCCACTAGATACGGGTGTCCAAAAGACTACGGTATTGATTTTTGCATGCTGACGTCGCAAGCGCATCGGTCCATCCAACGTTAGTGCCGATTCCCTCAGTCTGCCACTGACAATCAGCAGTCAGTGGGGATGGATTTGATGTGCAACGGTCACTTATCTCTAAAATGATAGCAGGGGGTGGGGGGATTGCTATAAGCCGTCTTTAGACGGTCTTAACGGTTAGCAAGCTATAATCGTGACGTTACTACAGTCTATGATTCTAGACCATTACTATACCGCAGTCTAACCAGTTAGCCGTCTTAAACTTTAAATCCTACTCGGAGGAGGCTTAAAAGGGTCTTAAATCATTTTCATCATGGCGTTCTGCTGATTAATTCAATGTCAGTGCAATGGCAAGACCAGGCCCAGATCGTCAAAGTCGGAGAATCGAACGACGAATATTCCGCACGCTTTTCAGCGTCTGTAAAAATAGGTCTGCGTTTATTTACGTTCATTTTCGATACATTTGCGTGCGTCAAGCACGCATGACGTCGCCCTCAATCTTACGTTACCAGGGAGTATACTCTTTTAATACTTTTTAATAATAAATTTAAATTTAACGTAATGATTATTTTTCAAATCATCTAACCATCCGATGCGACTGTTAACTTCCTTGTTAGTGATGATCGACGTCATATCTATATAACAATGCGACAACATAATTTAAACAAATGCTAAGAGAAACTTGTCTAAACTGGTACGTCACTTAAACCCCCAACATGGCATCGGTGACTTCACTTTCTTCTGTACAATGATTGGCCGATGAGCAATCCAGTTACTATTTAGTAGATAACTGTGGCAACCGTCGGTGACGTGTGCATACCCGGCTACCGGCTTACGTGTAATAGGCTCTACACGTACGATATGGTACCGTACATTATAACAGACAATTATCTGCATTCTATAAAATGATGAACTGATTTAAGCGGATTTAAGAACACATAAGGTTAGCATAATAATTTCAATTTAACCATATTGGGTTGAGGTGTATGAAATTCTGTAGACAACATTTTATCTTGCAGTCGATTGTGAGGTCACAGATTGGAGCTTATGGGGGCCGTGTGGCAAGAATGGGAAATACTGTGGTTACAAATGGGGGCTGCAAACTCGAACAAGAGATATTATAGTAAAACCTACGCCGAATGGGAGTGCCTGTCCGATTATATCAGAGAGAAGGCAATGCCGATTGAAGAGGCGACGTTGTTCAGGTACGTCCGGTATTGTATTGTACATAATCTTCAAATCGCGGAGCTAACATTTGTCTTACGCTATCACATTAAAGAATCAAGGCAGTTTAAGGCAGGGGCGCCGCAACCTACAGCCGTAATATAGGCGTTGGTTCAAGATGCAGACAATGGTTCTGGTGGTAGAGCAATTTCTCGGATAAGGGCTATAAACTGTAGGCCCAATGTACACAATATCTCGTGTGCACTGTAAGAAACCAGTATCTCATTTGAGACAAGTATTGGGATACTCCGGTATATTGGTGTACTGACAACCCCTGTGGTGGATAACGGGAATCATTTGGTACCGGTTTACCGGTGGCATAGACACGAAGGAACCATTAGTAGGGGCGATGAAAGTCACTGAACGAGCTACTAATCCACACTTCAAGCACCATGAGCATCGATCGATACCGGCGATATACAAATCTACACTATTATTGTTATATTATTATTATTATTATTATTATTATTATTATTATTATTATTATTATTATTATTATTATTATTATTATTATTATTATTAGTATTATTATTACAATTATTACTAGAGAAGCTCACTTTACCTTCGTGTAGATTAGATATTTTTTGTTTACCTATGCCAATCCATTCATCAACTCTTCATCATCTTCACATCATGTTCACTCTTTTATACAACATAGCTTATAATGACATGTTTCTTTTTTCAAAAGTAAAAATGTTCGAAGTAGATACGCCATTGCATAATGACCATTAACATCACCCGATATTATTATGTTTGTTCTCACCAGACACGTTTCCAAATGCTGTAGATGATAAGGACAATAATAAGAGGAAAGATGGAAAGAAAAAGAAAGGAAAGAAATCCAAGAAAAACAGAAGACGAAATAAGAGAAAAGATACACGTAGAACTAAGTCGAAAGATAGATACTTAAACCCAACATTGAAATACCAACCAACATTCGAACGTCTTGAAGGATGGGATATGAGATAACATGGTGCGGAGGATAAGTGCTTAGATTGGAATTTCAATAGACTTTTAAAAATTCGTTTAGGCGCATGGACCAGGAATCTAAAATAGCGATATTCATCGCTGTCAAATTAAATGATAAGTGGCAATCCTTACACAACATTATAATGCTCACCTAAGCAGATCCAGGAAGGAGGTAGAAGGGGCCAGAAAGTCAATTTTACAAATGAATGGTCAAGACTACATCAGTCCCGCCATGGTCGCGACTGAAGTACGAAGGTTTAGGTCTATAAAGTTTTGAGTCCATACTGCAGAATTCTTCGTTCGGCAGGATAGCATCTTGCCCACCAATATATCTCCACTGTATTTGGGACAGCTTCGCTGAAATTATCATCCGAGGCGCAGAACAACTTGTGGCTATGGCTCAAATATAATATTTGATGTAGACTGAATGAAACTAAACATAAAATATATGCTGCTATACAAGACCACGTGACTATGACTGCCGATTTTGGACCCGTACTGCGACTTTAATCAACATGTTAGGATAAGTGTTAACGGGAATTCATAACAAAACTATCTACTATATTGTTAATATAGTTAATAATGATTGAATATGGGCCTATATATATATATATATATATATATATATATATATAATATATATACATATATATATATAATATATATATATCGATTGATTAGGCCTATATATATAATTCATTTTTATTTCCAATATATATTTGAGAAAATAAATTATCTTGTAAGTTATTTATTTTTAAACATATAATAGTTGTAAATACGTAACTTCATTATTTTGATTAACAGCCCCCTCTATAATTATGCCTACATTTTAAGAACTGCTTATACGACTTAATGTACAGAACCACTCTGTGAGTATTTATATATTATCTAAACTCACCTGTATTTGTCTGATTTTATATTTTAAACTGTAGCATACATGAATTTATCATGTTTGATATCATTATTATTTATCATAATAATGTTCTGAACTATGTTTATTTTCTTTTAGAATGGATTTATTCGGTGTAAACACTAAGGATATCCCACCAAAGTCTGAAGAAGACCTATTTCTAGTTGGGTCCTTAGAGCATAGTGCTTACAATTATCACAACTACATACTCAATTGCATTAATATAAACGTTTAAATAATATTATCATAATTAAAATATCCTTGTCGTTTATTACCACATTTGCAAGCATTGGTTGTCAATCAGGAACCACGCTTTATAAGATGATTATATGTTAAGTGTGAGAATGTCAAATTAAGCATTAAGTTTAAACAGAAAATACATGATAATATTTAAGTGCATACATACACAGCGTTTCAAGAGTTTTTCGAAGATTGTATAGTTTTATGTCGATTAAATATGACAATGATCAATTAATGATTTTTCTTATCATTTATTAGTAAGGAACTTCGACACCTATGTGATATCATTCGCAAAGCATGATCGATTAGTATCCTATAAAAAGTTCCACAAGTATCAAATTACTATAGGCCTACCGTAAATGCTCGCGGCGCTTATACTTTTTTGGAGGCTTCGGTGCTGCGCTTATTCGAGAGCCGCACTAGACCTGATAGGTAGGAAACTCACAATCACACGAGCATCGGCTTTGCGAAAAGAACAAATTTGATAATGAAATCTAGGAGCGTTTAGAGATATAGTAAGCGAAAATTACACCTCCAAGAAAGGAGGCGAAACAATTAGGATGTTAGAGTAATGCGCGTTAAAACAATAAATTAAGGAAAACTTTAAATCCTTCGAAATGAATGTTAAAAAAGTAATTTTCTAAACGATCGACGCGTGGTTAAAGGGTCCTGGCACTATTTAACTTAACTTCTTTAAATACTTCCACCTAATTATCTCTCAGTTATCCAATTGTTTAGGGTTTCTGGAATGGCTTCAATGTGGCGAAAAAATTGCAATAAGACATACAATTCGCGAGCTCTGTAGTGTTGGTATAAATGCAAACGGTGAAATATTTATGCCACACGTCCTCTTATATTCATAAATGTATAACATCAATTAGTTTGGAGTTAAGTAACCGACCATGGCAATAAAAGAAAATTAAGAATCTGATGTAAAACTATGTGTACAGTACTATTATGCCTATGCGATTGAAAATCATTGACTGAACGTTATGTACGTCGACTCAAGTGCCGAGAAAGGATAGGCATCATAAAAAAGGTGATATAGTGAAGACAATTTTCGTCAGCACATACATTGTTAGCTCTGGAGAAATCTCTAAATTCAAATTGATTTCGCGCCAAAGCTAAGTACACCCTATACCTAAACAATAATGACCACAAAGTACAAATTTCAAAATCACTAATTTATCAACTTATATCAGAATGATGTATATAGTCGTCGTTATATGTACAGTAAAAATAAAAGTCAACATACTACATATTTTAACTGACAATGCTAACAGTCAGGTAACTTCTTCGGTCACCATAACACCGAAATACTTTTAGTCCCACGAGGTGCTTCGACCTTCGATTAAACAGGGAAAAAATCATCAAAGCACAATAGGGATACTAATACTATGAATAATTTTATCATTTGAAAGGATATTTACCAATAATTCAAAATACTACACTTCGAAGTTGCTAGTCTAGTCAACCAAAGCATAAGGCTAGCTAATGTAAGTACAGCTGCTTAGATAAAGCAAGGAGAGCCAACACATACAGTACATACTAAAACCATTTATGCATAGGCCTACCCGTGCTCGGCACGGTGTTGAATGTGTCGAGAAAGGTGGTGATCATGTACATTGTTGAATGGGGAAGTTGAAGAGGCAATCGTTCCGATGTTATGGTTACCATGTCATTATTTTTCTGAAGGACGTCTTTGTAGTTAATGTTTTGAGTGTTTTTGCAGCACACTGTAGTCCTTGTGGGGAATTATTGTGCAGTGTCATCAAGGGTGGATCCAGAATGTTTCAAATGGGGAGGGGGGCGCACAACAGTTTCAGAATAATTGAATAAGCGAATAGCACATATATTGCGTTGAAATTTAAAAAAAAATAGTGGCAAAACGGGGCAAGAGTCCTTCCAAGTGACGTCCCTCTCACCACTGGATCTTCCCCTGTTGCTTTGGGCTACCCTCTTGTAAGTGAAAGTACAGAAATATACAGCAGGCCTAGCCTAGTTGGGCATAAGAGAAGTGTTTGTCTTGAATCAAGGTGGATGCATGTAAGGCTTATCCGAACCTACTGACATTCAAAAGAACCCGTAATTTAAAGGTATTGATTGGTGGAGCTGGCTTGACCCTATCTATTTTAATGTACTATCCAAATCGACCCCGATTCGAGAGATAAAGGATAGGCCATAGGTATGCTAACTACAGCTAAGCCTAGCCTAGGTATAGGCCTATCTGTGATCGACATCATCATAGGCTTGGGTAGGCCGCGCCTAGTCTGGAGAGCCTAGGGCTGTGCCTATAGATAGGCCTGTGTAAGGCTAGCCGGTATGGTTAGGCCGAGGTTATATCATCATGGCTTGTGCCCAGTGTATCTTTATTTTTACCTGATCGACTTCTAAAACATGCCATTTATTGCTGATGTTTTGTGCCATAAAACTACAATACATCCAGTATAATGCAAAATGGGTACTCCGAAGAGGGAACATGCTTGTCACCCATTTTGTTGACGAACGTGAGAAGTACTGGGCGGTGACGTAATGAAGCTGCGAAACATAGGCCATATTCGACTAGTCGTTCTTCGTTAACCCACGCCCACCTGCGCAGTGGTAAAATCACGAAGACGACCTGTAATAGAAAACTGGTAAATACTCGACAAAACAAAATGGCTGCATAGTTACGGCGATGCACGCTGCGTAATCAAGGCTGCTTCGGATTGTGGCAGTATGGGTTTTCGTATAAAATGTTTTCATCCAGTTTTTGAATTCTGTTAGCCTACAATTATATTTTGAATTTGTGGGTAAATATTATAATTTTTATTTTCTGAAATTTAATCTAAATTATATTAACGCAAATGTTGTTGTGCATAATTTAACGCTGATTAACGCATTCTGGTTACGTTAATTTTCGTTGTCAACGAAGTCTTTTTACGAACCAGTCGAATGAAAATAATACTCAACGAAAATTCGCACTCAACGAAATGAACCAGTCGACTAAGCTTAATGACTAGTTTTTTCACGGCCTGACTCGATAATTTTTAGACCTGAGCATTGCAGTACAGAATAGATGTGATTAATTGTATTTACGTGACGTAAGCAACTTTCGAAACAGGTACTTTTCGGTGGTTTTTTGATGTTTTTCGTTGTTATCCAATATCCAGCCTTAAAAAAAGTAGCGGAATGTGGTCGTGACATACAGAAGCACCAGTGTATGAGATATGAGCACATTCCTCAGAGGAGATAGCGGAAGTTACGCGGTGGCGATTAGTAGAATTAATAGATTAGTACGGTATTCAATTCAATGGTGCCGAGCAATCATACGCTCAGAACTTTTCCAGCGATAGAGGGCGATGTGTGAAAGTTTCCTGTCGGCATAAACTTTCAGCGTTAAAGATGTTCATACATGCAAATGGTGGAAATAGGGAAAGTGGAATTATCGTCAGATAGGCCTAAATGATGATCGGTTCTTTGCGAAAAGTTTATTTTTCTGTTTTATGGTGGAAAAATCTTGTGTATAAGAACAGCATTGTTCTGATATGGGAAAAGTAAAATTATATTTGATTAGCAGTTACTATTTGAATAAATTACGAAAATGGCCGCCCTCTATAAATGAAATTTATAGAGGGTGGCCATTACATTTTGTTTAACATGGATGCAGAAGTAACATGTGATCATGATACAAAACCAAGTACAAGATAAGTTCTTTGTATACTTCTTTATTATTATATCTCAACTCAACATATTCCTTTCTCTCATTACATTAACGAACACAGTTCAAAATTACAAAGTCAGTACAATAGACTACGTTTACTATCGAGATACATCTTGTTGGTAGTGAAAATAATACATTTTTCATTTTCATGAACTATATTGGTCTATCTAAACCGTGGACTGTCAAACATACATTACAAGCAACAGACACACGATTCTCTGCCAGAATCAGTAAAATGTTATAAACTAATACATCTGTATATAGCTGTTATTACTTACCATCTCGCAATAAGATGTCGTTCCAATAGGTTTTTATGTAGTTAGATAATTTCTTTACCGAAATAACTTAAAATAATTGGGTTTACCTAGCATTAAAAGACACCAACTGCTTAATAAAAGCATAATTATTTGGCATTGCATCTGTTGTATGTTAGGCCATATCTCATATTTAACCATTCACTGTACGTACAGTAGTGTGATACCCTATAATCCTTAGGGAAAATGCTTAGGAAAATGCATCTGTCTACTCTACTCAATAATATTGTGTCACAAAAATTGCAGAGCACTTTTCTTGAAAGCACTCTTTTTTTGTCAAACTTTGTTCATACTGTGTGTGACCTTTGTTTATGAACTCTCGCACAAGTTGACACTACCTATGTTTAACGTACATTGCTCTTCATTATCTTACTTAAGCCTGCTTTGCATTAGAGTAATTTATCCAACGCAAGGCCTAATGTCAGTCACCACTTGAAATTTTAGTGAACATAACTGTGCATTACACAAGTACTAAATCAGAGGCAAAAAGTATGCAAATATTTGCTGACACGGCCTGGGGTACACACGCCTCGAGTCGCAGCTCAAATGACAAGATTTTGCAAGAGGGGTTGGTAGTGAAACAACCGCCGCGACTTGCGCTAATTATCTTACGTGTGTATTTTGAAGCGCACTATAAATTTAAACCAAGCGTTCGACTCTCACAAAGTAACGATAGGCATATTGTAGAGGGCGATGTTTGGCTTAGAGCAGGAGTTTTAACTGTACAGTTAAAAACCCGTGTGCAAACACATTAATTTAATCATAGGTTATTTACTTTTTTGAATCATTATTTGGTTTTCAATACTAGATTAGTTATACTCCAACAACTGTTTATTAAGCGATATTTTCATCTCAATTACGTCAACGAATAACTAAGCAATATTATTGTAATACTGTTGTGAAAGCGACTTTTAGTAAGGTACTAATGTAGTTCAGTTTAGAATGGTATGATACAAATTCTTTCAGATACGACCACACTCAATCGTCAATTACTAGAAGAAACTGAATGATGTTCTTAAACTGCTTCCTTTTGAGAACTTGCGCAGTGATTTACCGTATGTGTACGTAGTGAAAGGAACAAATCTTTTACAGAAAAAAAACAAAAAACAATAATTTGAATGCTAGAAACTAAAGCCGGCCACACACTACGCTCGACGGTCTTCGCCAACGCGATCCTCTAGATAACGCACGCCACAACGCGAGCGAAACAGATCGTTTTTAATGACGATTCGGTTAGACTGCCATCGACAATCTACATACGGTGTCGCGTCGTCTAAGGCTTACAGGGAGCGGAATTGGATTCGTCGGCTGACGGTCGTACGATCGACAGTCGTACGACGCAGTGAGTGCCCGGCTTTAACCACCAAGATACATCTGAATTCAAATTTCCGACCAGTTTTACCGCTCCAATGGTATATCTAGGCTTATAAATTTAATATAAGTTGCACCATCAAACATAATTATGTCTACATGAAATATTTCTCGTCAAACGTACATAATTCATATACATAATTCTTTATTATCCTAGGCTACGTTTCCCTTTACCAATATTATACACAGCTTCACTTTAAACGTTGAGTAAAATTGTATTTCATAATCTGTAGTTTGATTATTATATCTTATGAGCTCCAACTTTAATTTCATACTTCTCATCAGATAAGAAATACGATTTATAGAAAACAAAGTATGAGAGAAACCCAACTGACGAGGCCAACATAAAGTAAATACATTTCGTAGACGTTGTCTCCTCGGAGGAAGATCCGTACAAATAATTGCCACCCAGAGAATCCAATTTATCAGTAAATTATTATAATGTGATCAAGTATGCTACAATCAGTTCGCTAATGAAGCGACGCAAGAAATTAACTTTGGCTTTAAAAAGGTAACTTTTCTTTATTATTATCATTATTAAGAATAATAAAAGTAACAATAATAATGTAATACATCAGGCTTATTATATATATATATATATATATCTGTCTCTTATACACGACCTATAGAACCACAAGCTGCCCCGGTGATCATTATCAAAATGTGAAAAACTTTGTAGTACCATGGTGTTACGTCCCATTTTATTTTCAGATGGAACCAACATGGCCAGACGAATGACAGCATGGTACCAGTGAAACTTCCTATAAGTCCCATTAAGACACCAAAATGCGGAATGTAAATAGCTAAGACAAGAGTGAACACAATCGGCAGGCTACGTAGAAAAAGCGCCCACACATGTAAATATCCGTCCTGGGCAAAGCATGACGGGAATGGTGTCGTCGGCATCCCCTGAAATAACGCCCTCTCTAGCAATTCGACAGCCGCGTAGTACGGAAGAGGGTACGATAATAACGCCTTTATTACAAGGAAAATATTCACGAAACCCTTAAACATTTCTGATGTTAGGTTTTCTGTGATGACATCACTGGTGTCACGCCCCCAAACTAAAAAACATAGGTAGGCGAATAGCATCTTAAAGAATCCTGCGGCTGCATGAGTCCAATACATCATCTTTTTGAACTCTCCACGATTCGACATACTTCCTTCTAAAGTTGGCAAGAAGATATGAGATGTATAACTGAATATAACTATCCCGAGAGAGACTGGGAAATCATGGATACTAATGCGGTAGTCGACCTCCTTCCACTGCCAATTATTAGCTTTCGTTAGGCAATAGCCCAGTATAACAACATTGATAATAATATGTGCAACAGTGCATCCAAAGCTAAGTCGGGAAACGGCTTTCAAATTAATAAGAAATGCGCACGGTAGTACGAAGAAACAACAGATAATCGTCCAGCTTTTTAGCGGGAAAGAAGTTTTAATTGTACTGTCCATAAGATCGCCACAGAGAACAAGGTACAGAATACAAGTCATGATAAGTTCTATGAATTGGGCGGTATACACTATTCGTGCGGCGAATCTGGCGCCCCATACTTCTTGGGCGATTTCAACATAGGTCTCACGAACTCGGATTTTCTCCCCTGTAACAGGATCGACGTCATAGAGACATTCAACCAATAGAAGGCCTGTGTAACATGTTATGACTGCGGCAAATAGCAGAAAAAATAAACTCCAATAACCTCCATGAAGTACGGCGTACGGTAGTGCAACCAAGAACATACCCTAAATAGAGAAAAGGAGAGAGAAAAAGGTATCGTATAAAAACTATTATAGGTACAGTTTTTTTTCTTTTAACGAATGGAGTCAGAAATATTTCGTAACACAGGTAAACATAATATGTCAACAAATTATTGGCAAGTGATTGGAACAGTGCTCAAATAAAGTGATACGATGTTGATTTACATAATAATATTTATATAATATAAAAATATAAATGTATATATATTCTATATATAATATCTTTAAATTTTGCTTTTAAGTTTGTTTCTTTATTACTATCGTATCAAAACATTAGCTAGCTGGCTGATTTGTACATTTATGGTGTTTCATGCTGCAATAACAAAAATGGGGGTGTAATAATGCATATAAT